GGTGGCTAATTTACGTTTTCAACCCAGTTGTTAACACTAAATTACCTGCTGTACCTGATAAGTTTGAGAATTCTCATTATCTCTTTGCTAGATAAGGAATGGATATTATGGGGAGAAGTTACATGTTTATCACTCCTGGGAATTAAAGGGTTAACTTAGGATGCAACACTCTCTAAAGATAGCCAAATGGCATTCCTTAGCTTACATCTGCAAGACCAAACTGTTTAACCCTTGAACTCCCAAGATCTCATCAGCAATTCTCCTTATTGTCTGCCGCACAGTTCTTGTGATGTTAGTTTGGAGAATTTGATATTGGATCAACTTTGATCCCCAATTGATATTTTTCTTTATTCTCATGACTTGCCTGCTCAACACTGTATTGATATTGAAAGAAGAAATTCTGTCTTGGTCACTCATGGGAGTTAAAGATTAAGCTGATGTATGATGCCTATAACAAAAGATTACTTGTACAACTAAGTGAGGAAATTGTTACCAAGAGAAATACCAAATACTCATTAAGAGGATCAAACAAAATTGTTGTTCCAAGGTTTTAGTCTCACTTCTTAGAACAGTCTATTAGTTACAGGGGTGCTGTCCTCTGGAATACATTTACATTCGAACATCTGGGTGTAACACAAGTTAAATGATGGACTATAGATTCTTAACTTAATAAGATTCACAACCTAAGAGACTTTCATTTTAAAGCAACATCTGTCTCAACCAATGATTTTAGTAATGACGATTTTATATATTTTAATGGCTTCAGTATTTAGTATTCAGTATTTCAGTGACTTGTAAATTATTGTAAGATGCACAACCCCATAAGCACTAGCTTTTGCTATTATTGGGCTGAAATAAAGTGGATTTATGTATGTATATATTAAACCACGAGCAGTAGGGAACATGCAATTTCTCCTTTCAACCCTGAAACATTATCTGGCAAACAGGCAGTTAGAATGGACAAATATATTGGTTAGTGACAGTTATCTCAGTTTTTTTTAGTCTTACCTTTTTTTCTTACCTTAAGTCTTACCTTTTTTTTTAGCCCTTTAACACCCCTGATATGATTATTAATTCTCCCCTGCAGCTGCTGTACATCTCCTTGTAAATTTGTCACATGAATTGGTGGTTAGATCAAGGTAACAACATCTAACTGATAAGTTTGAGTATTCTCATTACATGTTAGCTGAATAATATGTGGAAATTATCGGAAAAGTTACAAGTAAATCACTTCTGGGAGTTTAGGGTTAAATAAAAATAATAAATTGCTGTTGGTAATGCAATGTGGCTCCTTAACCAATCTGTAGAACTGAGAGAGAAATTGATCGAAGACAGAGTATGTTAGACCAGCTGATTACCAAGTAAGTCACACTTTTCAAAATGAAGGATACTTCCTTCCTAGACTTAATGTTAATAATTGTGCTATTAACATAGACATGTGAAACAAATTAAAAGGGAAAACTTAAAATCTCTATTTATGTGTGCATGGTTTAGGGGAAATCTTGAGATTTTTCTGAAATGGAAGGAAAAAAACACAGGTCACATATTTTTCAGGAGGCAAATCACTCGTCACTTATAAACCCTCTGCCATTCTCTCTGGAGTCATCCTTGATAGTGAATAGTTGTAACTTTGCAGGGGTGTTGATAGGGACCTTTTCAAAAGGGGAGAAATAGTTACTAATTCCTGCTCACCTTAGGGGAATTGGTTTATGCCACTGCTCTTCCTTGCCTATGAGAGGGCAACCATTCATGGAGTGAAAAGGACCAACAAGCAGAGTATCCAGCCATTGAAAAGATTCATACCACGTAGATTCTTTGAGTTTGAGCATTTTGGAAGGATGATAGGTGGAAAGGGTAGGGGGCACCTCGGGTAGCTATGCCCTTGCTTTGACGGGATATTCAGTAGATATAAGGGAGTAGAGAATTTGCCAGATGGTGAGCAGAATTTTCTCATAACTTTTGTAACCAGTTACTCTAAGTTATGCCTCTGCCACTACACTTTTTAATGAAAATCCTGCTAATGGCATTTAATTTATCATACTTAATTCTTGGACGTTCTTTTTTGTTTGCTTTCCAGAGAGAAACAGATGACTGCAGCCTTTCAACAAGAGGCTGGTCAGAGTGATTATGGAAGGTGGGAGAGGTTTGGAAATCAAGTTTATTAATTTTTGTGTTTGCAGTGCTTTCAAGTGATGTCTGCAGTGATTTTATGGGACATTTGATGTGGTTGTATGTGACATTTCCAGTGGTGTTGTGCAACTTGGGCAATATTTCATTCCATATTTAGGGGAAGTCAACAGGTATTTCAGGGGATGAGCAAGGGGGTCTGTAAACCAAGTAACTAATCAAAGTGTGAAGGAAGTGTGATCTCTTCTCCCTTTCTTGCAACAGAGGAAAGATAAAAAAAGGTCTTCTGTCACCTTGTACCCCATCAGAAACTTGTCCAACCTTTGTGAACTTGTACTCACCAAAGTGCCTTCCTCAGCCTACCTTAAAGATCTTTTCATTATCTCATTTCAAAACTAAAGATTGGGTGACCAGGAAGTTTGGATTTACTTAACAGACTCATTCAAAATCTCTTTTTGCATCCTATACAAAATCATAAAATGGTGACGTGGAATTATTGATTCATTGCTTACAACAATTGTTATTTTTAAGCATTTTAAGTTGCTTGGGTCTTGTAGGCAAATGACAATAATGACGATATTTATCATAGATCCATTACTGGAAAGTTCAGTTGTTTTAGTCTCATTTCTCCCACTTAATTGAATACAAAATTTTAGGAGTTTGAGCATTGGAAGAAAAGATTTTCTGCTTTATATTTTAAGGAGCTCGTTACTGGCAACTGATCTTAGGGGGCGAGACACCAATCCATTTGATGAACCTGAACCTGATAGCAATGTGTCAATTGATGATATGAGGAGACAACAACAACAAATTATTGCAGGTATTCCTTGCGACAAATCTAGTTTAGTCATAGTCAGTTTTGTGCTGTCAAAAGGAGAAGCTCATAATTAAATCAGTTAAACAGTGATTTTGAAAAAGCCAAATGAGTGTTTAGTGCACATCTCCATTCAGTTTGCTGTTAATTTTTGTTGTACTTTCAGAACAAGACCAAGGATTAGAAGCCTTGTCAGGAATCATTCAGAGGCAGAAATTAATGGGACAAGCTATCTCTGATGAAGTAGACTTACAAAATGGTCAGTATCTTCACTAAACTCCGATGCAGCACCACAGTTTCTTTAGAAATTTACCCTTCTTATCCTTTCTTTGTCTCCCATTTAGCATATAGCCAATCTCTGATTAATCTTCTTACTACATCTCTTTGTTGACTTCACTCTAAACAGTGTCTATTATTGAAAACTGAGTGCTGTTATTAAATCGATCAATAGACATTTTGGAATTAAAAAAAGGTGTACATGTATGCTTTGTAATGGGGATGACGGGTGTTTTGCTTGGGCCTAAAGTATGAACAAATCCTACCCTTTCTTTTAGTGTTATCAAATGAGTTGAAAATGTAAATTGGTCACTGTTTATAGTTTCTAGCTTTGAAACTCTTTACGGTGGCCAATTTACATTATCAACTCAGTTGATAAAACCAAATTACCTTGTTGTACTCTCCCACCAATGCAGCACCATAGAGACTTACCCCCTTAATCTTTTCTACGTCTCCTACTTGGCATATGGCCCAATCTCTGGCTGATCTAGGGGTTTATCAATGAAATATTTGACTCTTTTTCTCTTCCTCAATGAAACCTTTGTTATTCCATGGGTTTGCTGGCTCCATGATAGGCTAGTTATTATGATTCATTGGTCACAGCTTGTGCATTTAGGCGGTTATTATCCTAAACTGCTGGTCATGCTTATTCTCTTTGGAGTCTGCAGTGTAGATCACACTCATTTTTGGGGATTCTTCAATCACTTCAGGGCTTGATTCTCAAGCCTCAAGGAGAAAAACAATTTTTTAAAGAAGAAAACGACAGAGCATGAGTAACATTTTATGAAAATGTTGGATCAGTGTCAGTATCCAAACTGCACACCTACCCCTCCCCTAACCCCAACAACAGTCAACTGATAACAATTTTGGGTTGATGTTGGGTTGGGAGGGGCCTTGGGCCATTAATCGAAGTCACAAACCTGTTACAAGTGTATGTGCTACATTATCGTTATCCCAGAACTCAGGTTGCCAAATGGGGTTGGCAAATTTAGTTGCCAAAATTTTTACTTGATGTAGTGGCCACAGCTTGGAGCCTTGGTATTGATGTACATAGATTACAAGGGTTGATCTTTTGATGTGCTGCAGATATCATTGATGACATTGACGCCCGCATGGATCAAACCAACCAGCGCCTTATCCGAGAGACAACCCATGTGCGGAAAGTGACGGCAAAATCTTCAACTTGTGGTGCGTATTAAAACTACGTGTGACCTGCATTAATGAACTATCCTTGATCACTAACATTTCAATCTTAATTTTAACAATTACTTTGCAACTTATAAGACAATATGCAAAAATGACGTTTGAAAGACATTTCTTTGTTTAAAACACATACCTACTGTGGTACGTTCTCTGGTGTGACTTTATCTCCTCCTCTGTATCAACCTTAAAATACATGCTCTCTTCTTGAATTAAATTTTAAATGAATACTTATTGTAGTGGATGTAATGTTTGAAAACTGGGGAATATCACATGGGGTATATCCTTGGATATTATTCAGTTTTAGCTGGGGAATATTTGGTCATGTTATGCATTTGAGCCAATTGTGTGCAAGCAAAAATAATTGAATGACTCTAACAATAGATATTCCTCAGTTTTAGCTGGGGCATATTTGATCTTGAGATGCCTTTGAACCAATCACACACCAGTAAAAATATTCGATGTGTTGTAGTGATAGATGTATGTGCTTTTCTTTCAGGAATGCTGGTGGTTATAGTCCTGTTAATTATTGCTATTATTGTTGTGGCAGTTGTTCCAACTCACTGATTATCTGTGTCTTTCCAAATAATTGATGTTTATTCATTTGAATTAATTTGAAAATGGAAAGAACCTTTCTTCCCTTGTCCTCCCCCCCCCCC